TTTTTTTAAAAAGCAAAATATTGAATCCTAAGCCAGGTGGTCATGGTGGCTCACACCCATGTTCCCAACAATCTGGATCACTTGAGGCCAGGAATTCAAGATCAGCCTGGGCAACATAGAAAGATTCCCCCACCGCCACCTCTACAAATTTAAAAAAAAATTAATTTTTAAAAATATCAACCAGGCATGGTAGCTCACACCTATAATCCTGGAGGACAAGGTAGGTGAATCACTTGAGTCAAAGAGTTCAAGACCAGCCCGGGCAACATGGTGAAACCCCATCTTTAACAAAATTAGCCAGGTGTACTGGCGTGTGCCTATGGTCCCAACGGCTTGGGAGGCTGAGAGGAGAGGATTGCTTGAGCCTGGGAGGAGGAGGTTGCAGTGACTCGAGGTCACGCCACTGCACTCCAGCCTGGGAAACAGAAAGAGACTTTGTTTTTTTTTTTTTTTTAAAAAAAAAAAAAAAGCCAGGTACACATCTATAGTCCTAGCTACTCAAGAGGCTGAGGTAGAAGGATCACATGAGTTTGAGTCTGTAGTAAGCTAGGGTTTTTTACACTGCCCTGTAGCCTGAGCAACAAAGCAAGACTCTGATCTCTAAAAAATCAAAAATAAATAAATATAAAGATTCCTGGCCAGGCACGGTGGCTCACGCCTGTAATCCCATCACTTTGGGAGGCCAAGGCAGGTAGACTCCTGAGGTCAGGAGTTCAAGACCACCCTGGCCAACATAGTGAAACCCTGTCTCTACTAAAAATACAAAAATTAGCCAGGCGTGGTGGCGTGCACCTGTAATCCCAACTACTCAGGAGGTTGATGCAGGAGAATCACTTGAACCCAGAAGGTGGAGGTTGCAGTGAGCCAAAATCACACCACTGGATTCCAGCCTGGGTGACACTGAGTCTCTGTCAAAAAAACAAGAAAAACAAAAAAAAAACCCTCCTAAACCCATTACATCCATCACCAAAAGTCATAGAGTCTGGCAGAGGGAAGCAGTGATGTGTCTGTGTCTCTTCCCTCTTCCCTACTGCAGTCCTTCCCTCCTCCAGGTGTGCTGACAGCCATCTCTGACCTCCAGGGCCTCCAGCATGAAAGCTCCACAATTTCTAGAAACGATGTCATTGTCATTAAATTCCACAGAACTGTTCCAGGATCCCAGAGGACATCATCATGGTGGGGTTTTTTACCCTGCTTTTCTCTTTCTTTATTATTATTATTATTTTTTTTTTTTTTTGAGACAGAGTCTTGCTCTGTCACCAGGCTGGAGTGCAGTGGCACAATTTCAGCTCACTGCAACCTCTGTCTCCTGGGTTCAAGTGATTCCCCTGCCTCAGCCTTCTGAGTAGCTGGGACTACAGGCGTGCACCCCTACTCCCGGCTAATTTTTTGTATTTTAGTTGAGATGGGGTTTCACCATGGCCAGGATGGTCTCGATTTCCTGACCTCATGATCTGCCTGCCTCAGCCTCCCGAAGTTCTGGGATACAGGCATGAGCCACCTCGCCCAACCTTTACCCTGCTTATTAACTGCAATTGGCATTCTTTTCAGCAAAATAAATGGACTATTTATTTCCAAGATGACAATTTCCTTCCTAAGGAGGTTCAAATCCTCTAACCAGTTTCCATGACCACTGACAGAGTCCATAGATCTATATGCCACACAATTCGACCACAAGACATAGGGTTCTAGCAAACTAGGAGCATGAGCCCAGCGATGGTGGCTCACACCTGTAATCCCAGCACTTTGGAAGGCCGAGGTGGGTGGATCACCTGAATCCGGGAGGCGGAGGTTGCGGTGAGCCGAGATCGTGCCATTGCACTCCAGCCTGGGCAACAAGAGTAAAACTACACGTCAAAAACAAAACAAAACAAAAAAACAAACTGGGAGTATGTGCACAATGATGGACAACAGTTTAAAAAAAAAGAAAAAAAAACTGGGAATGTGTGAGCCTTATGTTTTGTTTTTGTTTCTGTTTTTGGGAATTACATAGGATCCTAAATATATGAATAGAGCTCACTATTTAAAGGAATCTTTCAAATAAAGTGCAGAATATACTGGTTATCTGAGCAAGACAAGGTAGGCATGAATTATGAAACTGAACTCTGTCACCCAATACAGTCTCTTTTGCGTTCCTAAATCCATGTCCCTCCTCCCCTCCCCTCTCCCTGCCTGTCATTCCCAATTCCACACCACCTAGTGGCCTCCTCATGTTCACATGCCCTGACGCCCTCCCGTCCCCATAGCAACAGGAGGACCTGCACAACGCAAACCTCAACACATTTCTCTCCGCTCAAAGTCTCGAGGGGATTCCAGCTGTTCTTGGGGGAGTGCAGACCCTCTGTTCCTCCAGGCCCCGCCAGCACCTACCCTGCATTCACTGCCTCTGCTTCGGCCCCCCCGGCCTTCCTTTGACAATTCCCCTGCCCCTTCTCACCATCCCACTTCGACTACACACAGCCAGGAACGCCCTCCCAGACTTCCTCACCTAAGTAACCCTGCTGAGCCTTCAGAGACCAGCTCAGAACACCTTCCCTGACACCCTGACTGGGTGACTCTCCTCCCCTAGCACCATGGGCCTCACCACAGCTGTAAACGCCCATCTGTTTCTGTGATTACTGGATTTTCATCTGTCTTCCCCATATACTGTGGAGGCTCCAGGAAAGCAGGAACCTCTTCTGATTTTCTCCTTACTGTAACCGCAGTACCCAGCACCAATCAGGGACTCAAGACATAGGTGCTGAATGAATGAATGAATGAATCAATCAATCAATCAATGATCCATCATCTCAGTTAATCAATGAGCCATCATCTGCCTGTAACTAATAATTTCTGAGTCGCACAGCCTTTTTTCAGTTCCCTTTTCATTTCTCTCCCATCTCTTCTGTCATTTGTTTTTGCCTTTTCTTTTTATTTTTATTTTTTGAGATAGGGTCTCATTCTGTCACCCAGGCTGGAGTGCAATGACGCCATCTCATCTCACTGTAACTCCCACCTCCTGGGTTCAAGCAATTCTCCTGCCTCAGCCTCCCAAGTAGCTGGGATTTTGAGTGCCTGCTACTATGCCCAGCTAATTGTTGTATTTTTGATACAGACAGGGTTTCACCATGTTGATCAGGCTGGTCTGGAACTCCTGACCTCAGGCGATCTGCCCGCCTCAGCCTCCCAAAGTGCTGGGATTACAGGCCTGAGCTACCGTGCCTGGCTGTTTTTTGTTGTTGTTGTTTTTTCTGAGACAGGGTGTCACTTGTTGCCCAGTCTGGAGTGCAATGGCGTGATCTCGGCTCACCGCAACCTCCGCCTCCTGGATTCAAGCAATTACCCCCCCTCAGCCTCCCGAGTAGCTAGGATTACAGCCATGCACCACCAAGCCCAGTTAATTTTGTATTTTTAGTAGAGACGGGGTTTCTCCACGTTAGTCAGACTGGTCTTAAACTCCCGACCTCAGGTGATCCACCCACCTCAGCCTCCCAAAGTGCTGGGATTACAGACCTGAGTCGCCATGCCCAGCTGTCTTTTTTTTTTTTTTTTTTGAAACAGGGTCTCATTCTATTACCCAGGCTGGAGTGCACTGATGCCATCTCAGCTCACTGTAACCTCCACCTCTCAGGTTCAAAGAATTCTCCCGCCTCCTATAGCTGGGACTACAGGCGCCCACCGCCACGCCTGGCTAATGTTTGTATTTTTAGTAGAGACGGGTTTTCACCATGTTAGCCAAGCTGGTCTCAAACTCCTGACCCCAGGTGATCCGCCCCCCTTGGCCTCCCAAAGTGCTGAAATTACAGGCGTGATCCACAGTGCCTGGTCTCCTCGGTCATTTAAGCTCAGGCAGAATGTCCCCTCCAAGATGCGTTCCTGATGACACCAGCCAAACAGGACTCCTCTTGCCCCTGTTCCCCTCCCCAGACTGGAGGGGCCCCTCGGCCCCCTAGACGCTGGATGTGCAGCATGTTCTGCAGAGAGCAGGGGCCTTTAGTCTTGTTTGCCACTGTACTTCCCCATGCCAGGAGCTCTGTAAATTTTGCTGCGATTGAATGCAAGCAGAATGAAACGGAAAACAAGTCCTGCTCCCTCCCCACCTCCAGCCCAGTCTCTGCCTTTGATGCAGCCCAGATCCAAGGCATGGATGGAGCTTCAGCTTGAAGGGGAGAAAAAATGCCTACAAAGTAATTAAAGAAGGAGAGAGCGAGCGAGCTTGAAAGCAAAACCTTGAGAAGCCCAAGGGCCAGCCGGCTGGCCTCCCTCACAAAGCCTGGCACGCAGTCCGAACTCACTACGCACTGAATTAAGGGCTGAGTGAATGAAAAGTTCACAGCCTTGAAGCTCCTGGGGGCATTCCTGGCAGCAGGGCTGAGCAGAGAGATGCTAATGGATTCCAGCCGCCAGCGCCAACTCCTCTAGAAAGCCCAGAGCGATCGCCCTGCCTGGGACAGCCTGTGTCTCTTTCCCCTTTCCTTCCCTTTTTTTTTAATTTTTTTTATTTTTTGAGACGGAGTCTCCTCTGTCCCGCAGGCTGGAGTGCAGTGGTGCGATCTCGAACTCCTGGGTACAAGCACCCAGGTCTCAACACCAAGGAACGAAAGAACACCAGGACTTTCCCCATCGCTCACCAAAACCAAAGCGTCCGATGTGGGCAGGTCTCCCAACAATGCCTACTCCCCAGACACTCCCACAGAGGGAGTGCACAAACGTACACACAGTTGTGCCCTGCGCACAGACACACACCGATGCAAAGAGACGTCTGCCATCGCTCCTCCTCAGGTCACAGAGCCCCAGGGGAGCTGGGTCCACAGCAGAGATCAGGGGCCCTGCACCAACCTGCACCCACAAAGGACCTGTCCCTCCCGTCCCAGCTGTGCCCCCACAGAGGCAGTCCTTCAGTTCTGAACAGGAGCCGCTGCAACACTCAGGGCCTTCTTTCCCGCCAGGAGGCTCCTTTCCCCCTCCCCAAGGCTGGGGGTCCCCCCTCCCAGCCCCAGCCACCAGCCAAGCAATCTTACTTCTTTACTTTCGGGTACTTCATCTCTGCAATGGCGTTCGTGGCTTCTGTCTGCTTTTCCTTCAGGTGCTGGGGCCACATGTTGTCCACCCAGTCCACTAGGTCTACCTGAAAGCCAGACCAATGTCAGCGCTGCACTGCCCCACTGCAGAGCCAGACACAAATACCCCTTTTCCCTGGGGAGTCCTTGGGTGCACCCCCGCCCCCGACTGTGGGCTCCATATTCTCAACATGGGAGGAAGGAAGGGCAGGATGACAGGACCCCTGCTTTGTAGAAGGGAAAATTGAGTCCCTTCAACAGGAGATGAAAGAGTTGCTGGGGGTTGGACATGGGAGCTTACACCTCTAATCCAAGCACTTTGGGAGGCTAAGGTGGGAGGATCACTTGAACCCAGAAGTTCAAGGCCAGCCTGGGCAACATAGCAAGATCCCTGTCTCTATAAAACATGCTGCCAACTTAGTCATGCCCATGCCTCCAAGCCCAACCAGCCACACCCACACAAGCAGTTTTGCAAGGCACAGCCCAGGTGGCAGGGGACAGGGAAGGAGACGAGGTGGAAGGGGTCTGGGGGGGTACCTGGGCTCCAGACCTACCACGGTCGGACGCTTGACCAAGTGCTCCAGCTTGGTGTGGCTGAACTCCAGACTGATGACGTTGTACAGCTTGTCCCGCTGGGCCTCGGGCGTCTCGTAGTATCGCACAAACTGGGACATGCTCATCTCCGTGCCCTTCTGGGTGTTCACATCCATCACGTCCACAAGCCGTCGGCTCCCTGCGGGTAGAAGCCACACACGGGTTGCTCTGCGGACTTAAGTCTTCAGATCCTCCATGGGAGCCCCTCGCTAAACAAACGCAGCTCCTCTACCGTTCCCCACATTCATCACCCCTCTTCCATGACTGTTCAATTACCTCACCCTGTCACCTTTCCTTCCTGGATCTGTCTCCCACCCACCTGCTTCCCTGCATCACCACAGCCTCCATGCTAATCCAGGATGACCTCCAGAGCGTCCTAAAGGGGCCCGGGCAGCGGGGCACAGAGGTTCACACCCAAAATCCCAGCACTTTGGGAGGTCAAGGTGGGTGGATCACCTAAGGTCAGGAGTTTGAAACCAGCCTGGCCAACATGGTGAAACCCTGTCTCTACTAAAAATACAAAGATGCATGGTGGCTCACACCTGTAATCCCAGTACTTTGGGAGGCCAAGGAGGGCCGGTCACCTGAGGTCACAAGTTCGAGACCAGCCTGACCACCATGGTGAAACCCTGTCTCTACTAAAAATACAAAATTAAGGGCCGGGCACCATGGCTCACGCCTGTAATCCCACCACTTTGGGAGGCCGAGGCGGGTGGATCACCTGAGGTCAGGAGTTCGAGACCAGTCTGACCAATATGGTGAAACCCCGTCTCTATAAATTAAAAAAAAAAAAAAAAAATTAGCCGGGCGTGGTGGCGGTCATCCATAATCCCAGCCTCTTGGGAGGCTGAGGCAGAAGAATCGCTTGAAACTGGGAGGCAGAAGTTGCAGTAAGCTGAGATCACACCATTGCACTCCAGCCTGGGCAACAAGAGCAAAACTCCGTCTCAATAAATAAACAAACAAACATATAAAGATTAGCTGGGAGTGGTAATGGGAGACTGTAGACCCAGCTCTTTGGGAGGCTGAGGCAGGAGAATCACTTGAACCTGAGAGGCAGAGGTTGCAGTGAGCCAAGATCACGCCACTGCCCTCAAGCCTCAGTTATAGAACGAGACTCCGTCTCAAGAAAAAAAAAAAAAAAGGCTTCCTAAAGGAGTCTCCGGAATAGCCCCTCCTACCCACCCTCAACACTATAGCCAAGGTAAGCTTTCTAAAACAGAACCCCGACAGGGGCACTCCTCTCTCTGCTTAAAACCTTCAATGCCCCGGGCACAGTGGCTCACGCCTGTAATCCCAGCACTTTGGGAGGCTGAGGCAGGCGGATTACCTGAGGTCAGGAGTTCAAGACCAGCCTGGACAACATGACAAAACCCCATCTCTACTAAAAATACAAAAAAAAATTAGCCAGGCGTGGTAGCACACCCTGTAATCCCAGCTACTTGGGAGGCTGAGACAGGAGAATCGCTTGAACCAGAAGGCGGAGGTTTCACCGAGCTGAGATCACGCCACTGCACTCCAGCCTGGGTGACGCAATGAGACAAAATCCAAACAAAAAACCTGCAACGGCTCCCACAGGCTACTGAAGAATCCCGTAGCTGCACGTGCAAAGCCTTTCTGTTTATTTAGAGCATTAGGGTAGCACTTACCTCGGCAGAAAATTAGCTGTTAGTAGTCTCCCTCCCTAGAATGTGATGCCAGCAAAGTTACTGGACTTCTATGAACCTCTGTGTCTTCATCTTACCAACCATTCCAATGGGCTGGTTGTAAGGATTAAATCAGATGATGACCTGTCACAGTGTCTGGCACACAAATGAATGGGCCTCCTGTTACTCCCTAGTGCCCATCACAGTTCCTAAATAGCAAATTTCCTTTTATTCTTTTTTAATTTATTTTTTTGTATAAAGATTGATGGTCAGGCTGGTCTTAAACTCCTGACCTCAGGTGATCCACTCACCTCGGCCTCCCAAAGTGCTAGGATTACAGGCGTGTGCCACCGCGCCCGGCCAGCAAATTTGTCTACTTTCTTCCCTACTATTCTATGAGGACAGAAGTCTTGTCTGTGTCTTGCTTGCTACTCTATTCCAAGTATCAAGAATGGAGGCTGGCCGGGCACAGTGGCTCAGGCCTGTAATCCCAGCACTCTGCAAGGCAGAGAGAGCTGACGGTTTGTCAGCGGGCAGGGGCTGCAGGGCTAACACAGAAGCTTCCCGTCTCCTAGTGCAGAGGGCCTTCCTTTCTTTCTGGACAGGCTGCATCTTCCTGAGTAGGGGACACTCACACTTCTTTGTTCCGTTCTGTTCTGCCGTCATTCATATGTGACGTCATATGACACATGCTGGGCAGGACACCCAACGTTCATTATTCATTTTTTTAATTATACTCATATTTTTTTGAGCCAGATCTTGCTCTGTTGTCCAGGCTGGAGTGCAGTGGCATGATCTTGGCTCACTGCAACCTCCACCCCCTGGGTTCAAGTGATTCTCCTGCCTCGGCCCCTTGAGTAGCTGGGATTATAGGTGCAGGACACCATGCCTGACTAATTTTGGTACTTTCAGTAGAGACAGGGTTTTCCCATGTTGGCCAGGCTGGTCTCGAACTCCTGACCTCAAGTGGTTCGCCCACCTTGGCTTCCCAAAATGCTGGGATTACAAGCTTCAGCCACTGCAACCAGCCCTGATCTCTTTCCCAAAAAAGAAAAAAGGAAAAGAAAAGAAATATACAAACAAACAGGAAAACCCCCAAGAAGCCAGGGACCACCTTTGTTCACAGCCACCTCAACAGGTTACAGGTTAAACCAACCAAAGGCCAGCAAATGATGACAGCCCAAGGCCCGCATCCAGCCTGCTGCCTATCCTTGTGTGACCCAGAGTTAATAATTCTTTTACTATTTTTTTTACTCTGTCACCCAGGCTGGAGCACAGTGGTGCGATCTCGGGTCACTGCAACCTCTGCCTCCTGAGTTCAAACAATTCTCCTGCCTCAGCCTGCAGAGTAGCTGGGATTACAGGTATGTACCACCATATCTGACTAAATTTTATATTTATAGTAGAGACTGTTTCACCATGTTGGTCAGGCTGGTCTTGAACTCCTGACCTCAAGTCATCCATCCACCTCAGCCTCCCAAAGTGCTGGGATTACAGGCTCCGCCCACCTCAGCCTCCCAAAGTGCTGGGATTACAGGCATGACCCACGGCACCCAGCCTCAATTTTCTTTTTCCTACCAAGAGCTGTAAGTTTTGAGGGGTTTTCCACTTTTTTTCACAGAGAGGGAAAAGTCGAAAGAATAATACTATTTTGTGATATGAAAACTATATGAAACTTAAATTCTCAGGTCCATTTACAAAGTTTTCCTGGCGCACAGCCGCACTCATTGGTTCTCATATTGTATAGGGTGGCTCCGTGCTACAAAGGCAGAGCTAAGCAGTTGCCACACTGACCGAATGTCCTGAAAACCCTGAAGTATTTACTCTCTGGCACTTAACAGAGAAAGTTTGCTGGCCCTTGAACTAGATGAAACTCTCATGGAGCTTAGATGTTGATCTGGGTAATAGTCTCATCTGTTCACTGAACCTGCCCCATAATAGGCCCATGGTCAATATTTGTTGACTGAATAAACAGAGCCTCTCGTGTGGTAGGAACTGAAAAGTAACACGAACCCTGTGTAATCCTAGAACTTAGAAAAGCAGAGGTGGGAGGATGGTGCTTGAGCCTAGGAGTCTGAGACCAGCCTGGGCAGCACAGCAAGATTCCATGCCCTTTTTTGTTTCTTTTTTGAGACAAGGTCTCCCTCTGTCACCCAGGCTAGAGCACAATGGCATGATCATGGCTCACTGCAGCCTCAACTTCCCAGGCTCAAGAGATCCTCCAGCCTCAGCCTCCCAAATAGCTGGGACCACAGGTGGGCACCACCGCATCCAACTAGGTTTTTATTTTTTGTAGAGACAGGGTTTTACTTGTCTTTTTTTTTTTTTTTGAGACGAAGTCTCAGTTTGTCACCCAAGTTGGAGTATAATGGCACCATCTCAGCTCAAAGGCATGTACCACCATGTCCGCCTCATTTTTGTATATTTAGAAGAGACAGGGTTTCACCATGTTGGCCAGCCTAGGAGGTGGAAGATCTCAGGTAATCTGCCTGCCTCAGCCTCCCAAAGTGCTGGGATTACAGGCATGAGCCACAATGCCAAGCACGATAGGGTTTCACTGTGTTGTCCAGGCTGCCCCATTCTGAAAGAGGGAAGGGAGGGAAGGAAGGGAAAGAAGGGAAGGAAGGGAGGGAAGGGAGGGAAGGGAGGGAAGAAAGGAAGGAAGGATTACCAAGAGGTGGAGATTACAGTGAGCCGAAGTCATGCCACTGCACTCCAGGCTAGGTGACAGGGTGAGACTCTTTTTTCTTTTTTGAGACGGAGTTTTGCTCTTGTTGCCCAGGCTGGAGTGCAATGGCACGTTCTCAGCTCACTACAGCCTCCACCTCCCAGATTCAAGCGATTCTCCTGCCTCAGCCTCCCAAGTAGCTGGGATTACAGGCATTCACCACCACGACCAGCTACTTTTTTGTATTTTTAGTAGATACAGGGTTTCACCATGTCGCCCAGAATGGTCTCAATCTCTTGACCTCGTGATCCACCCACCTCATCCTCCCAAAGTGCTGGGATTACAGGCATGAGCCATCATGCCCAGCCGAGACTCTGTCTTAATTAAAAAAATAAAATAAAAATCCCAGACCACCCAGACCAGACCAGTGGCCAGGTCCCCTCCCCAGGGATCCGGTGAAGCCGCTTATCCAGGGGAGAACAGCTTTTGTCCACCAGGGGGCGTCCCCGTTCTTCGCTGGATATTCTGGCCTTGATCTTGAGGGGGGCCAGCGCCTTCCTTACCCAGGTGCCTGGAATAGGTGGACTCCACTAAGATTTTCCAGGAGGCCCACCTGGCAGAAACCCTGCTGTTACAACCCCCGTGCCGTCGTCCCTCTGTGGCCAGCCTCCCACTTCCACCCCCCTCCTCTCTAATCTTGCTCAAGATCATCTATGCAAAGCTCCCTGTGCAAGGGGGTCTGCTGAGCATGTAGCAAGCAGGCTAAAGAGCATTAAAGGCCAACCTCAACTACCCCCGCCCTCACACAGTTAAAACCTAGAGGGT